GTCAGCCACACTCACAAAACCAGGAGAGGCTTCCACAGAGGGGGAGGTGTTCAAGGTCCCGCATTTTCCCTTGCAGCACCCGACTAGATGGTGAGAGTCCTTTCCAGTGAGGTAGGGTGTTTAATAAGGTCTCAGTTCAATGGTCACTCTTTGGGCCCCACTCATGGTAGGAAAAGTAGGAGTGGAAAAGCTCCACAGTGGAAAAGCTCCGCAGTGGAGCTGGATTCTTCCTGCAGCAGCTGCAGCATGTCTCCTCTCCTCCAATGCCAAGAGAGCAAGAGAGGGCAGGAGCTGACCCAGCCCCTTGTGCCCCACCCAAAATCCCACGGTATCTCTGCCCCTCCAGGAGAAACCCTCCAGATAAGGGGATAGGCAGCTGCACCCTTCTCTCCGAGCTGGGCCAATTCTTTTGTTTTAAGTACTAGTCAYTATGTCCCATCTTAGCARCAGATGGGACAAAATTCTCTAAAACAAAAGGAAAAAATCCTAACCTCCAACATAAGATCTGTTTTTGTRAAAACAGAMGTTCTCATTACAAATGAGATAACARATGTGTACCATATATAAGGTGACTCTATCCTAATAAAGCAAAAAGGGGCCAAAAAAAGTACAGTTTTGTAATGACTGGAAATTCTGTTACACAAAAGAAGTTCTCAGCATACCCAGAAAAGTGTACCTGCCAATGGGGACACTGTAGTTGCAATACGTAAGTACAGAATATCAAAACTGAAGGCCTCTTAGATAAGCCTTYCTTGAAGCATTTAAGTAATTCTTTGAGTGTCTTTTTTGTGGTACTTAGTTTCTGACRTAGCTTTCAATGATACAGTACATGTCTTTTCAGTGGAGCAACTGGAGAACGAATGGGAAGGTGTATTGAACTTTGTACAAGGGCAGATGAGTTCTTTGTTTTTAGAAAGGGTGTAATTTTATTAGTCTGTTAGGATCCAAAGGTTATTTTAAATAAAAAGTAATTTTTTTTTCTTTTTTTGGTCTTTAGATTTACTGCTTCTTTTCCATTGTACTTCAAAAAAACAAAACAACAAACACCAAAATGAAAATCTCCAACACTCCTCTCCCTACAAAAGAAAAAAAAAACAAACCTAAAAGCACAAAACAAACCACCACCACAACAAACCCAAACTTTAAAATTAAGTTRGAATTTGAATCTGACAAATCTTCAGGCATGTGGTAGTATTTAATGCCTGTAAAGATTTCTTTCAATTGGAAATTCCAATTCTTAGTAACTGCAGAAATGATCTTTGTGTACATAAAATGAGAACATTTTTCTTTACTTTGAAGTTGTTCTTGTCAAAATGCAAATAATTTGTATTTGAGTGTAGAACTTGAGGCTGGATGAGGAGATGCAGCTTGTTCTCTTCATAATGTACAGCACTTTGAAACTCCTTTTTGGTGGAAGGTGGTAGGTGATGTGTCTTGGAACAGTCACTCTTCTTGATACTAGAATTGACGTAAGTTTGCTAACAAATGTTTAGCATGTGGTGGGTATTTTAGCTTTGTTTTTCTAAGGCCTGTTACCACAGACCTGCATTTATGGTACAGTCTAAATTRATTTCCTGAGTTTATACTATATTTGTCCAGTTTAACAAGGAGTTGCTTCACCATGATGTAAATGAACAATAATAAATAGTGCCAGATAGATAGATGTTAGATGTGAGAATTTATTCTGTGAAATAAAATGTCTTCCATTCCTGATTATTTTAGAGATGTTAATTTTAATTCCAAGGGCATTTACTCATTTTGTTCTAATCACACAGTACAGATCTGTGTTTCTCATTCCTGAGTAGATAGAATTTAAGTTTCAGCTTAATAATGCTACTACATATAGTGGCTTAATTTTAGGTTACATTGATTTCATAAAATTCAACAATGTTTTTTAATGTGTTGACGTGAATTTCTTACTGAAATATGGTGCAGATCATGGAAAATAGAAGGGGGCATTTGTCATGTAATGCAGATACTATGAGAAAAAATCTCCTTAATGCAGGGAAARCTAATGTCGTGCTGATGTTGGTTCTTGTTATGCCCATTTTGACCTTTTCTGTACTGCTGTTCAAAACAGAAGGAAACCTGTGGAGAATGTCCTGTTTCAATAATTTTGATAATTAAAAATACAGTGTTTATAGTGAGTTACCCTGGTCCACGTCCTTCAGATAGGGAAAAAATGAAGTCCTATATTCCTCCCTGTCATTTTAGGATTTTTTAAAATATTTCATCCATATAAGTGGGGGCTTTCCTCCTCTGTATTCTGTCAGTTGCTGAGTATTATTTGGAATTTGTGGAAAAGAGCTGATCTGTGACAATTTTTGGGCAGTTTTTTTTAGTATACAGCTTTCAAACACTCAGGATATGGAGCAGGTAAGATACATATGAGCATTGTGATTTGATAGAGGTTGAAGGGAAAGGTTTTGAGGGAAGATGTGGGGGAAATGGATGTGTAGGTCATGAAGCACTGAGCTGAGTGGAAGGGGAAAAAAAGTTTGCCTTATTGAACAGTCATATGATCAGGGTGATATTAATATAAACAGCTTGCTTACTTTGAGACTTCCTCCATGGCTCTTTGCTCTGCTCTCAAGATTGCTGATTGTAGTTCTGTTGGTCCACTAAGGAACGTGCTGACTTTTTTTCAAGTAATTCTGAGTGAGGGAAAAGCTGGAAGCTGCTGTGGCCTAAAATAGCTATCCATGTTAACAACTCCACATGAACATTAACTGTACTTTGTGTGGTGTGTTTAAGCAGCCTTGAGGAATCAATAATACTGTCCTTGTGCTCAAAATTGGAGGTACATCTGAAACTTTCTTCCACAGTCGGTTCATCTATCCCATACTCAGATATGTTTTGAAAAATTGATGAATTGATGAATGTTGTTTCAGTGCATTCCTACAGTTAACTACAAAAATGGTTCTGTAATAGGGAGGGAGACAATATTTTTCCTTCTGCTTCCTACTCTGCTTTCTACTCAAATATCATATAAAAACAAAGGCTATAAATTAAGTACCTTAGGTAGACATTTTATAAGTTCATAGTGTTGCATGTTTTTTATAGTAGTTAAATGGAAATAGATGAATATGTTACCGTGGGTGCAGTGGTGTTTGCTGAGTTTCCACTATTCCCAGAACTGAGGTGAGCAAATATAACAAATCACAAATGTAGGGGAGGAGTAGCACATGCTGGTACAGTAGTTTAAACACACAGTCTGTGAAGCATTACATTGCAGTGGTTTTACATCTGTATTATCTTTACCTGTTTTCGCTGCTTTGTGAAATTGACCAGCAGAAAAGTAAAAAATAGTTCTCCAGTATGAAGGTTTATGTATAGTCCAGCATATATAGGACAGTCTTTACTGTGTTGCACCATGTTTTATAAATAAGCAGGCGTAAAAAATAAAGAAGTCCTGCTGTATGTGGAATKTTTCTCACTTAAGCTGAATATTTGAAAACCTATGCAACCAAAGATACAGGGAGCTTACTTAACCCCAGCCATCATATAGTTTAATTCATTGGTGTGATGATCAGAGAGAAGTCAGGTTCATCCAAAATATAGCCCAGTACTAGCCATGGTGAAAAAAATTAACTCTATCCCAGACAAAACTAGCACATCCTGTATTAAATGAGCTGTATTGTGACCCTATTATAGTATGTCTGTAACTCTTTGATCTGGAATTGTGTGCATGTTTAGAGAGGGTAAAATACACATGTCATAAAACTTTTAAAAGCCATTGGTATGTCTGCCTTGTAGTAGAAGGTTAGATTAGAATGTGGTAAGTAATGCTGCAAAAGTAATTATTTAGGTGACTACTGCCTTATTTTATGTTCTTCTAAATTTGTTAAATGTTGTGGTTTTGCTGAAGTAATGAACATTCCCTGTAATCCGGAAAATCATAATTTTAAGGGTAATCAATTTAAGAAAAGAATGGTACAAGCTTGATAATGCATTGGATTCTAATTTAGAGCAATACTATCTGAATATGAGTTTTAATTGATACCAGTTCTAAATGAATGGATAACAAATTTTGTTGTCAGTGTTCATGTGCATTTGGAGTTGTAGTTTTGTCCCTGTGTACTTCTCAGAGCAGTGTTGCTTAATGGCATCAAGATAATGTTGATGCTTGTTATGAATAGACTGCATTTGTTGTTCATTAGCAAGACATGCTAATCACATACTCCGAGAGTGAAGTAATGGTTCATTACACTATTGTATTTTCATTGAATTGAATACTTTTGTGAATGACAGTGGTGAATGTACTTGCCATTTTTTTTCAAAACAGAGAAATCTAAGCTTCCAAAGTTTTGCAGGGGGCTAGGTGGGTTACTTGGCAGTCTCACTACCCTCATCTTTTCATATGAAGTTCAAAGGCAGCTGCACATAACTTTCACATGACTGCTTTAGTGTGACTCGTTACTTAAATTACCACAGAGAGATTGTTCAGGTGTCTGTGGTGAGGGGAGTAGTCTATCCAATAATCTGAGGATGTGGTCTATGCACAGAAAGTTCGGGAAGACTAATGATTGCATACTAGGCAGTTCATTACCACTCCCTAGGCACTGAATATGAACTCATCATGCCGAGGTACTGGACTATGCTTAGGAGTCCAGACATAACTGGCTTGATTTGAAACTGTGAACTCACATTAAAAATGTCAAATAACTGATCAAAGAGAGAAGGAAGAGAATGTTTAGTTCAAGGGTACAACTTCTAGTTATGGTATAACAGTTTAGATTACAATATTCATGCTGAACCTTATYTCACCATTGTTCTAGCTCTGATCTCTACAGCTCTTGGTTGGGAAAGTGGTGGTGGCCAGTGTAAAGGTTTGAGAATCTGACAGACAGTGATGCTTGGAGAGAATCCAAACACTTCTTGTTTGGCTTTGAATGTGGCTGTTGTTGGCAGGCTTAATCTTTTGTTGTTAAGCTTTCTGTGCTAGCAGGTCATTTTTGTGAATGCATGACTGTGCTAACTCTTGCTTTGTTTTGTCTTAGTCACATTGATCAAACAACAACATGGCAAGATCCTAGGAAGGCCATGCTTTCCCAGATGAATGTTACAGCTCCCACCAGTCCTTCTGTGCAGCAGAACATCATGAACTCAGCATCAGGTAAGCCAAATTTCTATTTATGAAAAAGATCGTACAAGTAAACCACAAGCTATTGTAATTGGTGGCAGAGAGGGAGTCCAAATTTAATAAATGTTCTGGTTATCCTGGTTTGAAACTTTAAATTTGTTGATACCTGATTTATCAGGCAAGAGGCTGAGAGTTGAAGTAAGAGAATTTGTATAATATTTATGTTGTTAATAGAAAATACTCTGTAGTTCTTTGATTAGTGTTTTTATTTTTTCAAATGAATGGGTCAGACTTTAAAATAAGCAGAATTTTTATCTATTTTCTTTTGACTAACAAATGCTGTTGAATTGATGAAGACCAGAATTTCTATTAAATTGACATCAATTTACATTAAAGCTTTTGTGCATCACAGTGTTTTTCTGCCTCCATTTGCTCACTAAGTAGACRTGGTATGCTACCATTTGTTTACATTTCCTACATTTATTATGAACATATAATTTTTTCCTATCCTCCTTAAATGGATTGAGCAAACACCTTGTAAATCTTGTTTAGAAGCAGAGGTATTTTGGTTTTYGTCTTGTGTTTCTATTACTTCCAAAATCCAATATCATGATCATTATTCCTCTAGCTGATGAAGTTTGATATCTTTTCTTGGAATATAGAATTGTTTTTCAATTGGTCTGGGGGAAGCTGTCACTAGACAGCAGTAAAATGTTCTTGTTCTTCCAGTAGAATCTGCTGTGTATTTTCAGAGCTCTCTCATCTGATTATGTGAAGAGAAAGCAAATAAATTTGRTGCCATACTAGTTTGAGTGCTGTGGTCTTCTGCTTGCTTTGTCACCTTCTGTCTGTCACTGAGGTTCATGTTACATTTATTTTCTCACAGTCTGACCRTATTTTGTGTATGTCTGTTCCTGTACTTCACAAAGGTTATTCTCTGGTGCTGCTTTTTGTGGTCTGTTTAGACAGCTTTGTTTCATGCTGCAATTCATGTGCTGGAGACAATACCAAAAGATTAACAGGCGTGACCAAACTGTGCTGCTCATGACTGAGTATTAGAGGGGAAGTTAATCAAACGTTTTGCTGGCTAGGCCAGGAGGCTGGATTATCCTGAAACAAATGAGTCCTGTTCAAGTTCAGGAAGTCATGATTTACAGYAATTAAGGTCTCAGGCTCTGATGTGAAAATAAAATAGTGTGATTATTTTTTCTGTAAATTTATCCCAGGGAACCTGCAGCAGTAGAGGTGGCATGTTCTTGCAGGCACACTTCTGAAGAACAGAGAATAGGAGAAAGGAAACAATTCCCCTAGTCTGTCTTGCTTTTTCACCTATTGTACTAAAACTAGATTGCTGTTTCAATATTGACAGAATTCTGTATTTTAAGATAACTATTCAAACCTTCAGTTGTATCAAGAATTGATGGGAAAAAAATAGCAAAGTAGGATTCACTTTGTGTTAGAAAGAAATGAAGGGTCCTTAGCAAAAAATACAGTCAGTTGTAATTGGGTAACAAACTAGAAAATAAGGTAGCAATCTGGACACAAGGATTATTTTTAAAAGAACACGAAGAATTTATGTGTAATTGCTTGATGTAAGCATGTGAGAGAGTGATGCTGCATAGACATTGTCGCTTATGCAATAAAGAGCAGTTGAGATGTTTAAGTGGGCTGTCTCATGATTTGAGAAAGCACTTATTTGGATACAACTTCATTGAACATTTACTTTTAATTTCACAGATGATACTGTGTTSAATATCAACTGAAAATCCTGTGAAGTTTTTTCCTGCCAATGCTCTGAATTTGTTAAAGTGCATGAAGGACTCAGAGCTCCTGTGTATACTGAATTACACCACATGTTATGTGGTGTTAGACTTACTGAAGTTTAGGTCGGTTGAGCTAGTGTGACTTGGAACTGGCTATTTCTATGCACTTGCTTAGCCTTATTTGCTATTAACAAARGTCTGTTTTTAATTAAATACTGAACCTGCATTTATTGTGTGTGATTCTGTTTTGGACACTCGATCTGGCAAATACTTATGTACTAACTTTAAATTAATAATTTAAATAAATAAATTATTAATTTAATTAAACTGTATATTTGTTTTTACCAAAGTCACTTATCTCTTGTACCTAGTTTTGTTACTTTTTATTCCTGAGATCATGGTAGATTATACTTCCTTKGTAGCCTCTTAAATAATCTCTGGCAGAAATGGAAAAGTCAAGTAACTATATACCACTTCAGCATAGTGGAACTTACTTATGTTGGCACTCAGATTTAAGACTACTTAGTGCTCTAATTTGGGTATTCACCCTCAAAAACTGGGAAATTAAGTTGAGACCTTTTAAGAGAGAAGTTTCCTGTTATGAAATATTGCTGGCAATAARTCATTCCCTAGTGCTAGAGAGCCTTTCATGCAAGATATTGAGAAAAAATGAGTGTAAGTATTGTTACAGCTGGAGATCACTGACTYGCAAAAAATGTCTGAAATGCTGCAAATGAGAGTGTTTTCCTTTCTGTATAGACCTTGTACGGTGCTCATTATTTTTTGCCCTTAAGTTACAGTCTGAGTTTTAGTGTTCTGCCATAGGAGTCTGTAAGTCAAATTACTGTGCTGAAACATAAGAGAGATTTCTGGAAATGTGTYTTGAGAGCTTTTAGAGGTTTTAACCATTTAGCCAGAATTAGAATTCTTGACATTAACTAGAATTAAGAACAGGAAACCAGACTGAAGATGCAGAGAGAGAGAAGAGAACTCTGAAAGCTGATGTGTGCATATTGGAGATAACCTCTTGTCTTTTTGGATGARTAGGGGAAGAAGAACTCAGGAAAGATGGGAAGAAATTATAACTAGAAGATGTGATAAGGGTGAGGGCAAGTCAAAAGATTGTTTAAAATATAAAAATGGGGAAAATTGAAATTTTTAGGTTATTTTTCTTAAGAAATTCCATCTCTTGAGGCACTGAAGACTGGATGAGAACCCAGGTATTTTGCTACAAATTACATTTATTTAAGGAAGTTAATGGACATCTGAATCAGCTTTAGCTGTTCTGGGCATGATTTTGTGAATGAATTGTTTTCTAAGTGTTAGTTAGCTTCATCCTTTATAGGAAGTCATCAGTGTGTGAAAGTGAGGGTGTTTTTTCCTCTCAGTCTTTCTGAACTTAGCTTGCTACATGTAATCATCTAAAATAGTTTGGGCCATGTGTATGCAGAGAAGCAGCACAGTGCTCTTTTAGATGGCATTTGTTGGTTAATCTGTGAAGGAGGTTGTTCTCCTCAGGAACATCTAAACATTTCCTACTGAGGTAAAGTTATACATTTAAAAGTGAACAGTGACTGTCTTTTATAAGACTAGAGTTGATACAACAGAGATGTGAAATTGTATTTATATACTTCTGTTCTTCAGATACTTCTGCTTCCTGAATGGTACTTGAATCATGCTTGACAGCACTGCATACTTGAGCCTCTTCTGCTTGCACATAAATCTTAGATAATTAGCTTTGGAGCCTATTGTATGCTTTTGTCTTCTTTTGTCTTCATACTCATGTGGCAGTGAAAGTTTGTAGACCTAGTGCAATTCCAATATCTCTTAAGGTAAGGCTGTAGTGCCATGTTAAATGTTGGTAAGAAAATGGACCCTCAAATTCATAAGTCTTGGGGGACAGGAGGGTAGATAGGAATATGCCAATAACTAAAACAAATTCTRGCTCCTCTCTTAGATCATTGCTCATTTCAGTTGCACATTGCTGCTCTRTAGCCAGTTATGCTACTAATTCTGCTTTGTACAGTCAACACTGTGATCTGTTGTGAAACTTAAGTTTCTAAGTATCTGCATGAAAGTAATGTTCATTTCTTTCTTCATCTGCAAATCCCTCCAGCCCCCTCTTTGAAGTGTCTTTTTATACTAACTTGGCAGGATAAAGGTGTAAATTAAGTAAGTTGGGTAGCCTTTGATATAATTTTTAAAAGTTTTAGAATTCCAGTGACAATGACTGAAGGGAAAAAGTTCAGCTTTCACAGAGAAAGATTAGGAAAGTTCTTGGAGATCAGTGTTCATATTAGATGAAGGTGGTTCCTGTTGTTGAACATAGGTATTCTAGTTCCTAGGTTGTCCATGCATATTCAGTTAGTAGATAGATACAGATGCCCTCTTATATACATTGACCTATCTACTGATAAAACAGCTTTATTTATATTTATTTTAAAATTGAGTGTTAGGAACTGTAGAGTCTTGCAAGATTCACTTCATATCCCAGCATAGGTTGAATCTCTACTATGTTTTTTCTTTTGTTACTCTTCCTGTTGCTTTCTGTCTGCCAGCAGCAAGCTCTGCTTTGAATTTCACATTTCATGGCATATGAGAAAGTTAAAAAAAAAAAAAAAAACTCAGAAAAAGTGGAGCCATGCACCAAAGAGACATGCACACAGGCTTTTAAAATTACATGTTTATATCAAGTTACACCATTATATAAATATTTAGTTACAGAGATGTGGCTTATCAGTAGTTGTGTGAAGATGGCTTGCATTTGGAAATTAGAATTTAATTTTTGTTATCTTTGTCCTTAAAAGTACCACAGTGGAGGCTGAGTTCCCTACCTAGAAGGGTTGTCTCTGCCTGTGTAAATTATTTCACAGAACTGTTAACTTACAGTTGTGATAGCATTCCATTATCATAGGAGGCACCAAAGATAACTAATAGGAGACCATGTCACAGGGATATTGTTTGTGCTAAATATTTACAAAAGTTGGAGGGGAGACTGGAGAAGTACTTGAAAGAGAAATATTTTGTAAGTAGACAGAATCTGGCTCAAGGAGTAACTTGGGATAGAATCACAGAATATCCTGAGTTGGAAGGGACYCACAAGRTTCATCAAGTCCAACTCCTGGCCCCACAAAGGGCATCCTCGAGAGTCAAACATTTGAGAGCATTGTCCAAATGCTTCTTGAGCTCTGTCAGACTTGGGGCTGTTACCACTGCCCTGGAGAGCCTGTTCTAGTGCTCGACATACCTGGAGGCTGAGTGACTGTTCATGGTCTCTATATGTATTCAGTGCTTTATTTAAGAGTTTATAGAGTGTGACAGTCACTAAAAGGGCTGCCTTCAACAACAGTAAGATCTGCCCATCATCCCAGGCTAGATGCCTGGGCTAAGTGGACTTTTGGTTAGACCCAGTATTGCTGTTTCTGTACAACATGAGCTACAGTAACTAGGAAATTTTAATGAGAAGGTCTGAATAGCAGCAATATAGGGCTTAGATAATCTAGGTCACAAAAGCTAATGCTGGAAATTCTGTTCCTGTTGAGCCTTTTGGGGGAAAAAGAACATGTAATTAAAAAGGAACTTCCCTAGATGCTCTGGGTGAATGTATTTGCTATTCTTCAGCATGGTTTAGTTCCTTCCTCCGGTATTTGGCTCTAATCCAAAGTTTGTCAGATGACCATTTAGAAAATCAGACTTATCTTCTAGTTTCCCAGTTTCTCACAAAACAGGAATTAYGGAAGTCAATAATTTCAACTTTTGAACTGCCATTTAAATATGGAAGGATGACAGCAGAAACATGAGACCAGTTTGTTGTCCAAGGAAGAAAGCAATGTTATTAATGAGTCAGTTAGTCAATGAGGCACTTAGCAAGGAAGGCTTGCTGCTGTGAAAGCCAGGTGAGTGGATAGACCTTTTCCTGTCCTGTTCCACAGCTGTGCATTTTATTTAGAAAGAGAACCTAGCCCAAATTTGTCTCTTAGCAGTAAGCTAGTACTCATCAGATCACTGAATCTCATAAGTATCATTGTTCCACCAGATGAAGTGATCAGCTCCTGGAAACCTTCTTCAAAGGCATTTTGTTCTTACTTGCTACAAAGGAACATGCTGGACCAGAATATACTTCAGTGTTCAGCAGGACTGATACCCCAAGGCTGATTTTGTTTTTCCTAAAGCCAAACAGGGTTAATTGACTTTGCAGTTCTCAAGAGAATTTTTTGCAGAGTTTCTCCAAGGGATGTGTGGCTTAGAAGGACTCTGAGGAGAATGGTAGTGGAAGGTCTGCCTGCATGGCTAGAGTGTTGCCTTAGCAGTAAAGGAATAGGCTTGGTGCTTCATTGACTTCAACACTTGGATGATGGGAGACATGTTACTGTGCTCCTATGCCCCAGTTTTATAAAATAGCATCTCACTGATTAGCTGGCTAGTCTTTGGTATGGTAACAAAATACTGGGTTCTTTGCTGTAGAGCTTTCATTTCTGCATCGAAGTCCTTTTGTACAGTGAATATATTATCATTCAAGAATTATTCACAGTATTGTCACTCTTCCTTGCCTATTTCTATTCTCTACCTTCTGAAAAAAGCTGAGGGACTCATTACTTGTAGGCAACATTTAAAGCTTATGAGCATTAGAGGGGGGAAGAAAATGTCCAGTGTTCACTGACTTTCCTCATTTTAAAACCTGTAGCTCTAATRATGGAGTAATGAAGTTGCTAGAGAAGGGCTTTGTTTTCTGAGCCAAAATGAAAGTTTAAATTTGAAATGTAGTTTGCAAGGGATCTTCAAAGACCACAGTAAGAAATTCTTGTCCTGGTTATGCCTTGGGATGTTACTGGAATGCAATTGAATTATTTTTTTACTCTTTTTGACATTTCTCCCAAGAACATATTTTGAGATTAAGCAAACAAATCTATCCTCTCCACCTCTCCTCCCAGCTTTAGACTGAATTCTTCAGCAGGGGCATAGCTTCAGGAAAAGTTACAGTCAAGAGCTGATGTAGTTTGAAGATGGATATAGCAGACATTTATTAGATGGACACATATGTTTTTATGTATATCTGAATGTCATGTGTGAAATAATGTTTGTGTATTTAGTGCATCTTACACTATACAGAATAATCTGTCTAATGCTACTGTTTTACTATATTACACCAAGGAATAGTAGAAGAACTTGAAATACAATGGCTTGCTTCTACYGCAGGTTTTGTTGTAATTTCTGCTACATTCGTAACATTTGTAGTTGGTCTTTTGTTGTATAATTTGAGAATTGTACTTGAGTATAAAATACAGGGAAGATCTTCCTTTATCTAATGTAGATTTTTTTTTTGATCCATGTCAGTATGAGTATAAAAATTCAAAACCATCTATTTGTAAAGCATCCGCCAGATAAGATGAGATAACTTTTTGATAGTTTTCAGTCTGAGCAAAGTACAGATGAATATACGTGATCATGTAGAGGTGGGAATGAGGGGTTTAAGAATGGTATAGGAATGAAAGGTAGTTTCTTGAAAGCTGCTGATGGGAACGTAAGGGAACCACTTCTCAGGCTCTGAGTTTAGACATCAGCTGTGGACTCCACAACATTATTACATACCTTCCTTTGACCATTTTCCAGAAGTAGTTTTCCCTGTGTGTGTTTTTCTGCTTGTAAAGTAAAGGTGTAGCACTGCTATTCATAGCACGGTGTCTTTGTGGCTGCTTATGGTGTTTTCTTACCTTTGCTGTGTCATTGCTTGTTTGCCTGCCTTGTTCTTCAGGTTTGCCTTTGTGCCTGCTTAAGTTTTGAATGCTTCACAGTAAGTTAGAGTATGAGGTAAAGGGGAAATGAGTTTTGTCACTTCTTTTTTAATTGTTTGTGAAAGACAGGAATACTTCAGGATCCCCTCAGTGTTACCTTGCTGMTGCTGCTGCTGTTGCTGTGTCTTAATCACTACATGAACTTTCCTATGGGAGGTAGAATTATTCTGGCTTCTTTTTCCTGGTGCTCATGCTGGTTTCATTCTGGCAGGCTTGACTTATTGCTGGTTTTATACTAGAATGCTACAGCAAAAGCAAGTGTCAAAAGCATATGAAAGGATGCAAACATGTTAAAAAAATGAAGTCCAAATCCTTAATAAAAATGATAGTAGTATTTCCTGTTCCTTGGTTTTCCACCTACCACTTCTTTGCCCTTATCCCAGAAATGTTAGACATGAGCTTGAAACTCTCCTGTTTCATGTGCTGTTATATATGTAAAATGTTAAAATTTTTTTTAGATCAATTTCAGCTGGAGCAAACAAGAGCTCGCCATCAACTCCTTCCTTCTATATTGCAGGCCCACTCCCCGATGGATGGGAACAAGCTATGACCCAGGATGGAGAAATTTACTACATAAACCATAAGAACAAGACCACATCTTGGCTAGACCCAAGGCTTGACCCACGCTTTGGTAAAAGTTCATCTCAATTCAGAATTCTTGATTTGCTTCAGTTCACTCACCTTTAATTTTGCGGGCATATTTTGAAAACTTTTTGTAGTAAGATTAAAATATATTTTGAGTTATAGACACCTTATTTTTTTTTTAAGATAAAAACTATTAGCATATATCCTTCAGGACTGTATGTTACCCAAATTTCTAATGCTACAGGTTAGTATTTTGCCATACGATCCATACCATTCCCCTAAGTGGTGACATTCAGAAATTACTTACCTAGATAGTTTCAATCAAGCTCTCATATCCCTTTGAAATGGTGGAACTTTACCACAGAAGAATTTTTAAATTCCCAAACAAATATTTACTTTCCTTTGTGCTATCTTGAGGGCATAGTCAAATAATAGTTCATGCTGTTTAAATACACTTGAAACATATACCAGCTTATAATTCCAGCTTGTCACGGTGATGATCATGACAAAACTTTCTGTTTTAAACAATATGATGAGGAATTCCTAGTTTTGCTGTTATTACTTTAACAACCTTTTTGTGGGTTAAAGACTATGTAATACTGGAAATAGAAGTAGTAACTTAAGGTTCACAAAATCTAGATGGAGAAATTCAACAAAATGGAACTTTATGTAATTTTGTCAGTAGTGTTTTTGATCTGTATGAAGAGCAGAACTGCAAACTTTTCAATAAAATATTGGCACTTGTGACTATAAATAGAAATCACATATAATGTCAGGACTTTAAACTACTTTCTTAGATTGTCCAAGTGATGTATTTAATATGGCATTGCAATTTCTGTTTTTTTTTGTAAAGCTGTGATCTCTGTGTGTCAGCCTTATTAGTTAATACAGCTAATATGATTTGACACCCTTGATTTGTTTTCCCAATAACTTACTATTTTCATCTCCTTTGGATTTTAGTTATTTTTCCAGAGCCATGGAAAAACAGTAGGAGTAAAAAAAAAAAAAAAAGAAGAGATCATTGTGGTTTTCAGGCTTTACTTTTGGACTCAATGTAGCTAAATGAAAACAGTGTGCAGATCACTGAGTAGGTCAGGCTGAGGGGATGCAAAACCTTTGAAGCTTTACGGGGGTTGACCTAACAACAACTGTGGGCCCCTTTTGGGAGAGGCATTAACTCCATGAATGCCATATAAATACAGAGCTACAAAATTCAACAGTCACTGTTCTGTTTTGKTTTTTGAACTGTCTTTTAGAAATTCTGCATTTTTGGTTTTTAGGCTTGAGTGCTTACTTACAACATCTGTTTACTCTTACGGAGAATACCAGATTGTCACCCTTTGTTTAGAAACTGCTTACCAGTTTGTCGACAGGTTGAACCACTGTGCAACTTGAGCCCAAAGGTGGGGTGTCAGCTTTGTYAAATGTCCATGCAGGCTTTAACACCAGCCAGAGCTACAGACCTRTTTGCTTGTTGCAAGAGGACTGTGTGGGTAATTTGCAACTTCACAATTTCTTTTTTGTGCATAAGGCTGAAAAGGAAGCAGTCATTTTGAAAATTAGTGTTGCCTTTTGCAATTATGTTTACTCGGGTAAACTTGCAGGGTATCTGTTTTTCTTTACATGTCTTAATTTATAGTTTCCAGTGATGAGCTGGAATTAAAAAGGAAATGCTTTAATGGCCAGACGTTGTGAGTGAGATGAATCTTTCTTTTCACAACTATTTTGTATTCCTGTAGAGTGGTCTACCTGTAGAGTGGTCTAACTGTAAGGGGCAAAAGCTACTTGTCTTCTGCATACTGAAATCCCATCAAATATTAAAGCTGCAGTTAAACTGAAAGAAGTTAGAAATGTCCAAAAGACTGATTAAGGGTTTCTTGCTGCATAGCTTCCCTTTTTGGGCCCACTGTGTATGTGTATCCCAGACAGGCTTGASTACATGCCAGGGCTCTTTATTTTGTGGTCAGACTTTTAATCTGTTCCAGACCTTTTCAGTCAAAGAGCTCAAGTGTAACTGAAAGGGGCAGGAAAGGAAAAAAAAAGCATGTGGACTCTTCTGATCTAGAGTGATGGCAAATAGAGACAAGCTGCGCTAGCTGCTGTTGAGCTTCAAGGAGTTTTTCTTGAAAATCTGAGTTGTACGCATTGTAATGTAGYTTATGTTTTTATCATTTGAGACAAGAAAATACAAAATCCTGTTCTTGTTGCTTTTTTATTTGTGACCACCTTAAGTCACTAAAGTCAAGAAGAAAAAAAAWCTCAACTTGACAGAGTTAATTACTGAGACTTGCATTTATTTATCATGTGGAGATCCTCAATAAATACGTGCTGTGACCCCAAATAGCATGTGAATGACTCAGAAGTTTACCTTTCTGTGCTTAATATAGATTGAAACTTCTATTGGTATTTTTTCCCCTGAGGATTACCATACCCTTTTCTATCACTGTGTTACAATATAAGGGCTTGGTTTTCAATATTTTTGGCTACTAATAAATACCAGAAACAGGGTCAATTCATCTTTGTCTTGTTGAAGGTTTTGGTTATTAAGTGATGCTAATGATGATTGAAAATGAAGGAGGAATTATTTTCTCTCTCTGCCACTTTCACCAGTCTTAAGAACCGTTGAAGAAGACAAAGCTATTGAATGGTATGTGCAAACATACCCCTCTGTTCCAGTATTCAGAAGAAGAAGGTATGCAGAGTCTTTGCTGGTATTGCTTCTGAATTCCCAGCTTCCAGGGAGACAGCTTTATGTCTCTGTGTGTTCCTCATCAGATGGAACCTTTGCATTCATCTGTATTTTCTCTAGTAGGTGTGGATATAGCTCTTTTTTAAGTAGCGCTTGGAATTTTCCATTATCATGGCTAGAAAAGAGAGAGGGGAGGAAGAATCAGTTGGAAAAAAATTAACTTAGATGGACTGACTTAGTAAGGGACATTTTGGTATAGCATCGATACTTTTAAACATAAAATAAAATAATGTAGTTAGTATGTATTCTTTCTTGGAGCAGGCTTTTTAAAATAATGCATCAGAAAAGAGTCTGTGTCAGTATAGCCAGCTGTGGGGTGGGCTGGGTCTAAAACATGAGTGCTCCAAGTTGAAGATAAGAACTTCATTCCAAGACTCAAGTTGAACATCTTTGAAATRGGTTCACGGTCTTCGGCTACACTGCTTAAAGCGTCAGTGAAATCCTGGGGCTCGGACGTGCATCCTCCAAGTCTAAAGATATGACTTTAAAACAGTTTTGTGTTAGGACAATTCACAGACTTCAGTATTGAGGAAAGAAGTAGGAAAGGAACTGTCTTCTTATGCCAAGCACAGGTAGTCATAAAAGATGACATGGGATCAAAGGAGTGGGGATGGGAGGGGGTTGGTCCTTAGGCCTGTGTCAGCAGGATTCTTGTCTGGTGGAGCATCTGGTAAAAGCATGCTGCCTACCTTCTCAGTGCCTTTGCAGACCTCATGGTAAGGAGCTTCAAATTGCCTGGTTTGGTTTTTGTTGGGTTTCTTTGGTTGTTATGGTTTTTTTTGTTCTTTTTGGTTTTTTTTTTTCAATTTAGAAGGGTTTTTTTTCCTTAAGGGAATTGAACTGTCAGCTTGAATTTGTCTTTTGAACAGTTTTGTCTTTTCTGCTATTGTTCATTGGTCATTCTTCACAGACCCTACTGGACTTTTAAGCCTTTCAAATAATGTAATGCATTTTCTTGATAGTCAAAGAGCATCTGGATAGGAAGCAGGTCAGCTATGCATTCTGGGTGGCTGGAGTTTGTGAAGTATAAGAACATCTGCTTTTTCTATGAATTCGAATTTCCTAGTACCAGTTGAAATTTGAAATTGTTCAGCTTTACTGCTATAAGTTTCCAAGAACTGGCTTTTGTATCAAATACCATTAAAGGGCTTTTAACTCTTATTTAAGTTTGCTGATGATAGAACTTGGTTTTGAAATACAACCTTAAATAATTTGCCCTTTGAGGATGCTTAATATGTTAAGTTCAAAGACAAAGTTGAAGTGGGAAATTACTGGAAACAGCAATTGATCTGTGTCTTTGCTAGGCTAAGTTTGGTTTGGAGACCTTAGTACCCCAGTAGTCCGACAAGTCTCTGCAGGATTTAAAGTAATACAAGATACTGTTTCATTTTCCTTGTTATTTTATTCTAGACATGGGTTTTAAGGTTTGTATCTAATGGTCAGAACACTGTTCTGCACTCCCAGTCTCTTTCCTTCTGTTCTTTCAACTCTTGGAGCTGCGATACAGAGTATCAAACAAAATATGTGACCTCAGGTTGAAATCATAACTTTATCACTCCCACTTAGAGGTTATCTTAATGTTCTTTGAAGTTCTGCATGAATTTTGGATGAGGGGGAAGGTAAGGCAAGGCAGTATTTAATATCATTGTGGAAAGTGCCATAGGGGCTCTGTATACAGTAGCTGCTTGACTACATAATTACATAATTAGGAAATGAAGCTGGTGATGTCAGTATGATTATAGAGAGTGCACACCAAGATTTTCAGCTTCCTTTTTTTTTGTACCATAAAATCATTGCACCTTTGAAAAAGCATAAAGAGCTAGTTCAGAAACACTGAAGTGAAAYGTACATTTCATTGAAACATGTATTTATCATTTCTGTTTTTAAAAAAAAGCAAGCAAACACACAACGAGCTTGAAATTCAATTAAAAGCTTAAGCTTCAGAGTGTCTGCTAATTTTTAAGTCTCGGAAATTAAAAGGAGGTATTCCACAGTGTTGCTTTCTTATCCCTTACCTGTCTAGCACTTTGTTTAAAATTTGCTCCCTCTAATTAGTTTGTAAGAGCCTTTCAAGATGCAGGTTTTTGGACAAGATAGACCTGGAACTCCAGATTGGAAAGCTGGGTTTTGGCCTTTGTCTAGTCAAAAAAAAAAACGATCAAAAACCCAACAAAACAAACCTTTTGTCTGGTTATAGTAGTGTTTTACACTTCTTAAGTTCCAGGTCTGCCTTCAATTTTTTGTGTGAAAAGCAGAACATGACCCACATGTGGTTTTGATCTGCAAAAGCAATGTCA